CATACATACATACATACATACATACATACGTACATACATACAATAAATAAGACATACATACATACATACATACGTACATACATACATACTAGCAGACATTCATACATACATACATGCACACACGAACACTTGTATACACATACATACACATACATACATACATTTAAATTCACATACATATATGCGCATACATAAACACAAGTATAAACATATATGTGTGTATTCGCATATTTAAGCTAATATGCAACAACAAAACTACCGGTCAGATCAATGTCAGCAAACCACGATTATCAGCATACCATCAACAATATCTGCATACATACCGTCATTCTTACTGGGGTTACACATAATTAATCCTTCTAGCGCAAGATAACAACAGGTGAGAGTAAGTACACGAAGCAGCCCTGCTAGAGTATATATATGTCGGCCGTCGGGGTATTCGGCTCTATACTATTGGTGATAGCTATCGCAGGCTGACGGTATTGGTAACAGGATAATACATCTGATGAGTGTTGTCAAGCTCGAAAAAAAGTTGTTTCTACTTTTTAGTTTATATGAAGTGAGCAATGTGACAGGTCCAGCCAATCAAATGATTTCCTCACACTCCATACAATTTTATTGCATAGCGAGAAATTTTTCGGAATTTCCAAATGACCTTCTCCCAAATCCTCAGCTGATATTTTCTATTTTGTGAAAAAAACATAGTGATGAGTGAGTACTCACTAATACTATAATACACTGATCTTACCAATACAAACACAGAAAATGTCACATCACATGCACATAGTTGTTATCTTATTCGCTTATATTAGACTGCGAGTTGCGAGTCTTGCGACTCTGCGAGATACAATAAGTTCCTCGTGAGATCCCTGGGTTTAGGGTTTGTCGCCTGTCAGGGTGTCAGCGGGGCTGACTGTCACAGACTCACAGTCACAGACTCTCACTCTTCAGAGTCTCAGGCACTTTTAAAAATTAAAAATACTGAGAGTGAGTCTGTGGGTCTGTCAGTGTCGACTGTCGGAGAAGTAAATAATTTTTGAAAGTATTTTGTGTTTTTTTTTTCTACATACAACAATAGTATAAAACATGGCATCAATGGGATTTGGTTTTTGAAATTTGGAAGCGTTGTTAGGATGTGCTTCTATGTTTTAGGGATTATTTTGAGCCCAAAATCGGAGACGGGGAGGGGGGGGGGGATTAGGGGACTTATATGATTTACAATATTGTCCTGACCCTGTTAGAATCACCCCAAATATATTTAGGTCATCTACAGCTCAAGCTACTTTATTTTGAAGTATATTCTAACGGTTATTAGTCGTAAGTGCTGAAGACTCTACGTTGCCAATATGGCTAAGCACTTGGCCTGTAGTCATTCTGAAGCTTATTTATATATGGAATCCCAAATTCAAGTCAATAAGAAACACCTGAATATTAACTCGTTAAAATTGAAAAAGTATTCAACCTATGCCGCAAATCTCTATTCTTAGCGATACACCTTCAACACTACCGTAGTAGCGATGTCACTTGATATCCATGCAGTATGTCATCCGCAGTTCTCACAGGGCGTGTCAAATTACAAACTCGTTTTTTTCCCAAGTCGACACTCTACTGCGGCAGTATAAGAAAATGATGACGAGACTCTGGACTGATTTGGGCTGTCAAAGGGCCCAAAAAAAAGTATATACATTACAAATTGATTTCTATATTGACTAGTGTACCTGAACTTCCTAAAGTCCAAAAATCCAGGGGAACGGGGAACGTACAGTTATAACTTTTGAGTTATAAAAACATTGAAGGCTAAATATGGTTATTGATTCAAAGCACTTCAGCAGTGAGCACTGAGCAGGGGCCAGGCCGTCAGGGGGTTGTGAGTTTGTTACACGTGATGAGTTGTGATACAATGACAGGCTGACAATTGATAGCAAGTAGTCCTTTACTGAGTGTATAACTGTATACGCTTGTCAGTTGTCACACAAACGTACCCACTCAGCGCGTGAAAAAAAAAAGTGAATACAGACGCCATCTGCTACAGGCTTATTGTGCGTTTAACTCAAGCTACTACGACAGCCAATGGGCGAGATATGTTTTTAAAAATGAATCTGCCACAGATGAAAACCTAAACGTTGAGCACAACAAAACTGATAATATTTGAATAGCTAGTAGGGAACACAAATCGAATAATGACAGTAAATTAAGTCACAGACAAGCCAAAAAAAAATTGTATGCATCATGCTCTTGCAAATAGTATAGAAAAATGTACGTTTTTATTCGTATAATTAGCATGAATGTATACATAAAAGTACGCATATATCTACGTATTAGAATTTAGTAAAGCGATCTTGTACTTGGGGAACTGTCTGCTTGGACAAAGACGTCACTTTGACAGTTGATAATACTTGTTCGTGTACAGTTTATTGTATGTCGTTTGCGCACATACGTCACAATAAAAAATACACTACACAATAGGCATATATTAAATGCAGTTTGGCCGATATTCTGTCTGTAGCAGCACATCCGCTAGTGCAATATATGTATGTTGGTTTTATGTGGGTAAGGCGTGTAGTCACAGTCCGCAGCGGCAAAACAGCGCCTATACGGTCTTGCACTTGGATGGTACCACAACCTACATGTTCATCACTTGTGGAAAACATTTGGAAGCACTGTGTGAATTCGAGAAAAAAAACCCCTGCACCAATAGTACGTAGATAGTCTACTGGCAAGTCTTTAAAGTGCGATTTCGCCCAAACCCAATGAGCAAGAAGCTAGCGTGAAACAAATAGAGCCGCTTTCTGTATACCAACTGGTGAATGTAGGCACAGACAAACACCAGAGCTATCTGAAGTATCACAGACGGCTTTATAAAATTTGTCTCCGCGTCGGCTTATTAACTCGTTGAAACTTTATTGATTTAAAACACCGCGTTCCTCTTAATAAGTTCGACCCCTTTTTTAAAGAATGCAAAAAATTGGAAAGTGAATAATGATTTAGAAAGACGAAGTCACTTAATTGGGGGGCTGAATTGGCCGGAATCGGGTCGGCAGAAAAATAGTAATGCGCCTAGCTGAATGCGAATAGGGAAACTACTAAAATGGCTAGGGCAGTGTATTCGCAATGTAGGTGTATATAAACAAACATATACATGAACTACGGATATGCCTACACAGACCTATATAGCACTGTGTGAGAAGTCTTTTTGAGAATGTATTTCTAAATCAATGGGCCAGACGGAAGGGTGGCCGAGTCCCTGTCTCGTAGTATATGTGGGGCCTGTTTGACCCGAGCGAGCTACGGCTAAAACCCTCCTTACGAACTTATAATAAGTGACAAGTGCACAGCGGGGTATTCAATATATAATACATACACACACACGCACAT